ACTAAAATTAATTTGCATTTTTTGTCATGATCAATCATCATGAAATGCCTTTAGGGTTTATATTTACAGGATATATACATTAAACTTTCTAGGTCTAGGTATCTCAAAAAGAGTTGTACCAATAAAGTTCAAGTATAATTTTGTCACAACTAGATACAGAACATGGTTATATTATAGTGTTTTTCTCCTTTCAGCTTTGCTCCTTAAATTTATTTATTTAAAAAAGCTGTCCAGAGTTCCTTTCATACTTAAACTAGTAACTGAAGACTTACACTTCCAAAGCCTCAGGTGAGCTTTGATTAGCTAGAATTGAATCAGAAAGAGCAAGACCTAAAGACATGATTAAAAACAGAAACAAATATTCCAAATGGAATGTGGAATGTATAACATTCTGCTTCTACAGAGGTGTTTCCATTGCCCCTGTATCTCCTCTGAATTACATCCCTGTCTCTTAAAGCCAAGCTCAGAAGCCAAAACTGAGAGTCTTGTGACATAACCTGTCCTCATCCTGAGGACTCCTGTCTCTTTATTGTAGCAATCAGTCTCACTTTGACATTTTGTAGTTGACAGATTGCTTCATTAAATGTTCTTGTTATTTCATTGTGTGTTGTCTCACCAAGCAGCTTGCACAAGTATGACTTTGGGGATCAGGTACTATGTCCTAGTTTACCAAATTTGGTAAACCCCTCAGATACCCTGTTGAGTGCTTATGACCTCTCATTTCATAGATCCAAGATAAGATATATAATGGGGCGGGGTAACAGCTTAATTCTCAGAGTAAGAGTCAGTGGACATTATTAGATTTTAACTCCTTTACTGAAAGGCTAGGTGGATAATTTCAAGTAAATGGCCCTGATTGTAATAGCTAGAGAAGGGAACCTGATTTATGTTTACTGAAGGAGGCCCCCTTTGCTTTAAAAACTCCTTTTAATGAAAGAAAAAGATGAATGATATAATTAAGTTGACTTGTAATTAAACTCTGTAGCCTATACAGTCTTCAGTTGGTGCCTATCAAACCATTTGCAACATGGAAGCAGAAATAGTTTTTCATGCAAGGTTGATGATTTGCAAAAGCAGGGTTGATAAAACCAGGACATAGGACATTCATACTGGGATAACTTCCAGATTGGCCCCCAACTGCAGGAATCAAGAAAAAGAGAATTTTGATACAACAAAGGACTTAATATGCTTGTGATTACTTAGATGTGTGATCACACATCTAAGATCTATCTATCTGTTGGAAAAACATGTATGAATAATAGAGGATATACTGCTCTTTTGATTATTCTGTGAATAACCATCTCTTTAGAGACATAAAAACCACCTCTTAGTACAGAGCCCCATACACAACTCCTAAAATAAAAAATTTTATTTCAAGAACTCTTTATTTGAAACAGAAGCCAGTCTTTAGGGTTGAAAACTTTAGGAACAGATAAGATTGTGTTTTTGTCTTTGTAAATGGCTAAAGCCAGTAAACACTTGAAGGTATGAATAGAACACTGGTTGACGATAGGCTTACTCCCCTAAGGGTATGGTTCTCACTAGGAAAGTGGAAAGACGTGTTTGCCTGAAGTTAGGAACTGAATATAGGCCTGTTCAACATGACTGCTGAAAACTAAGTTTAGGGTTCTTACTGATGGAATATAGCCAGTGAGAGAGTACAGAAGAAAGGAAAAACACAATTTGTATGAATACAAATAAAATAAGGTTGGGATTATACCTTCAGATCTATAGATTTTGCCCAATTAGATTGATTCCACTTGCTTGTTTATTTTCAAGTTCTTTATTTGGAACTGGCCAGCACCTTCCCAATTTTATTGGTAATTGTAATTTTAGCAGCCACTAGTGAGTTCCAGAGCAGTGCCTTTCAAAGTCTTTTGACTGCAATCCACAGTAAGAAATACATTTTGTACAACCATTTAATATATGCATGTCTGATGATTTCCACTTTTAAAAAATACTGGTTATGACTCATTGATTTCATATCCCATTAAAGGGCCAGTACTTGCAGTATAAAAAAATGGCCTAAGATTCTGGTATTGCTGCATATATCACTAATACTTTAATTTCTTTATAGTGTTTCCTCTTTCTTCTCTAGATCCAGGAGCTCAGGATGCTATTTCTTAATTTGTTGGAACCATTACAATTTCAACTTCTGCTTTAAAACCTGGAGCATATAAAGTGTTCCTCAAGGCTGCCATGGTCTCATTTTCCTAGTACTTAAAGGTGTTTACTTCCTGTCTGGCATCCTCAACTTGTCTCTCCTAAGGCTCAGACCTTTCAGAATAAAGGATGAAGAGGAAACAGTTGGGAAAAAAATGTTTTGAAATGATAATAACTCAGCTTCTGCTTATGGGAAATAAGTAGGGCTTCTATTCTTTTTGAAAACATAGCTGGCTGAGTTGCTGCAATGTAAAAGTTATAGACTTATTATTAACTTCCTAAAATGGAATAAGAAGTACAAACATGCTTTCAAGTGTGTTTAAGAAAATACAGAAGTTTCTTAAATCAGGTTTTATTTATTAAAATCAGAATACAAAATACCTTGGAATTCAAAGATTGCCTTTACAGTGTTTATCCCCTAACAGATTAGTTGTAAAGAAAAAAGTTAATCATTTGAAGGGAGGCTATAAAAATTTTAAGAATTACATCTGGGGGTGCCTGGGTGGCTCAGTCACTGGAGCATCTGGGACTCTTGATCCCACAGTTGCGAGTTCAAGCCCCACATTAGGTGTGCAGCCTACGTTAAAATAAAATTATACATCTGGTTGCAGACTGAGTTTATTCAAGCTCTGAGAGCTCAATATGCTCCTCCAAGTTTTCAACCATTAATAGCCCAAACCGATTGCCTCCCTCATACCAGCATTTAGTGTCTGAGGTGGTTCCCACTCTGTTCTTTGACCGGCTGGTACCTTGTTTCTTTTGCCTTTTTTTTTTTGAATTTGATTTACCCTTTGGTAGGAATAATTCAGCAGGGGCATATGACCTTGTGGCATTGAACAGATGTTCATAAAGATGCTTCGCCTCAGGGCACAAGCTCAGGAGACTTTCTACAGAAGTCGATGTTCGCAGTTGTCGGCATAGTCCGTGCACCAGGCTCCCACTATACAGTCTGTTTCACAGAAGAGAGAAAGAGTGTTGTCAAAGCACAGGTTCTGTGTAGGACCTTGGTCATTAACATAGCTTCAACAAGTGCAGCTAAACACTGAGCTCTTCTATAAAATTATTATTAAAATGACTTTTAAAATTCTGTTCCTTGATGGAAGGAACTTCGTTGTTAGTGCAAATTTGGCTGGTGGTACTTAAAAACTTGTTATCAACAAATTAGATAGATGCTTGCTGGTTCTGCAAGTAGCCAAAAGTTGAGGAGGCCTCTTATCACTTCAAAGGAAAGGAATTAAAAATGTCTCATAAACCAAATAGGCAGTCTGCTGAAATATGAGAAAATTTAGTGGCCTCATTTGCAAGCTCACTGATTCACTTGCACTGAGAATCTACTTCTGGAAAATAAAACGGGATTAATTGGAAGCCACAAGTTTAATAATACATAACTTACTGCCAGAGTTGATCAACCGGTGCCTTAGCAACTAATGCAGAACCATCGTTTAATCAGTGTAAGGTCATCATTTAAAAAGCTTTAGTAATGCTGAATTGCAAAACAGTCCTGCTGAAATTATTATGAAGAGAACTGTTTGGTCTTGTTTTTCGCTGTTTTGTCGTAAAGCGCTGTGGTAGCTGGAGAGGATCCAGTCTAGAATGACCTAAATTATTTAAGGAAGGGCATAAAGAATCCATAGGTCAGAGGCCAATTAATCTTATTTGGTAGAAGGTTCTAGGGTTGGCTTAGATATCAGGCCCAGAGATGTATTAACACTATTTACTGCTAGGAAATTGTATACCTTAAAACACTTCAAGTCACACCAGCAGATTTTATATGCCTCCAAACATATGTCATTCACTTATTTGACAAATATTTGAGTTTTTACTGAAGGCTGGCACCGGGGCAACAAAAGTAAATAGCTAAGCCCCTTCCTCACAGAGCTTCCATTCAAGTGGAGAGAGACAAAGCGCATCTCCAGTCTCCACTCCATTTGCTAACCATCTGCCCTTTATTCTTCCTCTCTCCCTCCCCTGGGATTTCCTGGATGTACAATCACCAGCATGTCCAATCCCCTGAATGCAGTGCCCACGCCCTACTGCTATCCTATCTTTCTTACCCAGCTCAAACTCCATACTCAACCATCATAATCCCTTCCTGGAATGCAGGCTGCCTCTCCCTTGTTCATACTTGTCTGGCAAAACAAAAACCCTAAATAAAGTCCACTTAAATTTCTCAGAGTCATCTCACTAGAATAAAAGCTCCTCCATGACAGCAGAGATTAAAAAAATCTGTTCACTACACTCAAGCACACAGTAGGCGTTTAATACATATTTGAACAAGTATGTGAACAGTATGCCACGTGGTAAGAAATGCAGTTACAAAACTCCAAAAGAGTAATAGGACTAGAGTGACTGGAAGTAGAGGGTAATATTCCAGGAGGATAATCAGAAAGAGCCTTTATAAAGTGATACTTGAACAAAGACCTGAGAGAAGGGACAGAGCGAGTTCTAGCCTACCAACAGCTCAGCTGCCTCTTGTTATACCTTAAGGGACTGGCTTTTTAAATCTTTGACCTAATCATGACAACTTTTTTGGGGAATATGGAAAAACTTTTATATGTTTCCAGCTCTTCTGCTATAATAGTGATCCAAGACCCATTATACTAAGATTAATTTTTAAACATTTATTTGCTTTAAGTATAAGTAAAAGTATGTACTTCTGTGTGCAGCCATCTGAACTAGTTTCCCGTGGTGCTTACCGAGTTAGGTCTGGTTCCGGGAGAGGAGCGGACAGCAGCTGATTGAGATACATCCCCATCTGCAGACAGCACTGCCACTGACAGAAGATGTGAGCTGTGTCTAAGTCCAGTCTCGTGCCCGGCCGCGTCTGCTCCTTCACTCTTTGGAACTCTTCATACAGCATCCTAGCACCATCCTCCCGCAGATCTTCCTTTCCTAGACAGAGAAGCAGCCCGAGGGCAGTATTTCCAGAAACACTGTATAGCTTGTAATTTTCTCTCTACATAAGACTTTGAATTCCATAAAGAAAAAAATTAGTTTAAATAACCAAAATGCTTTTCTCTTCTGGCTCTTTACTATTTTAACGTCAATGTAAAAGCCTTGCTGTATAAATTGAAATATTTATACTGAAATGCCTTTTTAATGACAACCTAACTTTATTCAACCCTAAATTATTTATTTATTTTTCCTTAAAATAAGAATTTCTTTCACTGGTCTACTACCTGACTTAAAATACATCTGCTTCTGAACTCTCCAAACCCAAAATCTGTCTCTGGAAAATACAAATTACTATTAAATATCCTTCTCTTCACTGTTCTCGTTCGCGAAGTTTCCTTCCATGGAGACCAGTCCCTATCATAGTGCACTTACACAGCCTGTGTTCAGAGCACACTTTAACCTCTGCTTTATGGGAGGAAAACAAAAGCATGACTCAAGGATCATATGGTAAATCATCTACTTCTTCACGTAGTGGAGGGTAAGAGGCAAGGAGCAACAAGCCTCGGCAATGAGGAGCCTGTTTGCGTTCAGCTGTGGGCTCTTGCAGGTTTGAGGAGGGGCACGCAAAATGACATTGGACCGACTTGAAAGTAATAAAAAGAAGGCCCACCTTTTACCCATTAGCGAGCAGCAAGGCACTGAGCCTGCCTAGGTGCAGGGTCCACAATTCCTAAAAGAAAAGAAACAGACCCTTGACATGCCCCTTCTGTTGGACTTAGGTAAAAAGTCAACAGGCTTGTGCTCTGAGAATGTTGTTAAACTATAGTTATTATTCAAAGAGTGGAAATACCCTAAATTTGTGCTTTAACTAGTAGTGGGCCTTAGCTCATTCAGTTGGCTGTCCTATAAGAAGAGTCGCTTCTAACAACTACTCTCCCACTTGGGGTGTCCTGGAGTCTATACCGGTTCACTCTTTCATTTAATGTATTTTAAAAGTAAACTCAAGAGTAGCACTGTCCAACAGAACTCTCAGCAATGACGGAAATGTTTTGTGTCTGTGCTGTCCAGTCAGTAGCCTCTAGTTTTATGTGGCCTCTGAGTGCTTAAAATGTGGCCAGTGTCAAGAAGCTAAAGTTTTCATTTAAATAGCCACACGTGGCTGGTGGCCATGAGATTAGATATTAGCAGTGTTCTGGAGTGTGATGATGATTATACGTGTTTAGATAAGGTATTACAGCACTCATGATCTTTTAAAGGGAATAATTCTATTAAAGAATTGAAGTGCTCCAATGCATCTGCATTTATTTCACCTGACACTTACATGCAGCTGAAACTACCTTAAACTGTAATTCTCTAAGAGAAAAAGAAATTACTATTTCTGTCATCACGAACACACTGACCGAAACTTACAGTGGAGAAAAAGTAAAACAACAACAGCACAAGCATGAATGTTTATTATGGTTGTAGGCATTCAGAAGTTTTACCAATGGACAATTTTAAATAAATTTCTAGTGATGATATTGCCACTGTATTGACAATAGGGACAGGGTACATGGAGTACAGAATGTAACTGGCAAGTTACACATGCTCACTTCATAGGTCAAAGTATTAGGTGCCACAGAGCAGGTGGGAGGAGGCATTACCAGCACACCTTCACTGCTCTGGCCTCAGAGTCAAGCACTGCAGCACTGAGCCTGGTGCATAGAAGTGCTCAGAAACATTTGCCAGTGAGTGCATGGTAGTTTGGTGTCTCCACCCCTAAGTTCTGGATACAATCGATGGGAGTAAACAATCCAAGAAAGTTTTTTCGTTTGTTTAAACTTGCGATTATATGCAATATGCAAAACTTTACTCCTGGAATTTCCAGAAACCTACCAGGGCTGTTGATGACGTGCAGGGGCCCCATCAGCATCCCTAGCAGTAAGGCCTGCAGATGATGTAGCTTTGCCTTGGCCTCTGTGTGCTGAAGCCAGTAGCAAGTGACTGAAACGAGCAACTTCAATGAAGAAGGGATTGGCTCCAGGATGGTCTGTTTCACCTTCAGGGTTTCTAACAGAAGGATCTGCCGTTTGGCCAAGGAGAGCTGAAAATACATACCGAACATCCCGCAAGTTACTTTGGGGAAGGTCTTTTTTTTCCCTCTACTATGAGGAGACTTTAATGCAAATGAATTGCTCTGTCAGTTTCTTATCTTCCTGTGGAAAGAAAGCAGCCACACTCAAAGCATTTAAACCGTGCTTAATAAGTACGGTTGAATGGATATATCATGTACTCCCACGACACAGCCCTTGCTCGTGTCATTCCATCCTCCATGGAGGCTGGTGAACATCTTCAGTGCATGTCACTTGGGAAGCTTAAAAAATTCAGCCTTCAGGTCCCACGCCCTAAATTTTGATTCCGTAAATGAGAGCAACCGAGGAATCTACATTTTAAGTATTCTGTCTTGAGAAACAAAGATCTATACTCAACCCTGTTCTTACCGGACAGTGACTACTGAGGCCCCACCTTCACGATGCCATTTCTGATCACCTCTAGAAAGCAAACATAGATGATACGCACCCTCTGTGGCATATTACACAGCCTTCAATATTTGTTTGGGTCTTGTCTCATGTCCCTACCCAGTTGAATATTTTGCTTTTTTGTGTTCCCACAAGGGATTGTTCCCACGGTGGCTGCTTGTAGGTGAGAGGTATATTCAAGGGGGATAGGAATCTTTAAGGACTACTTGCACTGTGCGTGCACTAACACACCACACTCACTTCTACTCCATGCTTTAGAGTATACTTTCAGATAAAAGGAAGTTAACAGCTATGAGAGGTTTGGGCTTCTTGAAATAACTTGGCCCTAGTGGATCTTAAGAACCATAAGGACCTCCTAGGTCACACACTTTTACAAATAAGGAAATTAGTACTATTAAAAGGGCACCTTCAGGAGGACTTTACCATCAAACTTTTAAGAAAGAAAACACTGGTGTTCCTAGTGTCTACATGCAGCCAGAAAAGGATTTCTTCTTTAATTTTCTGTAAGGATGAAGAGACATTTCTCAGTACCGAAAACCTAGTTTGTAGTCTGTATGTTGACAGCAGGGAATGGACATGTTAACCTGAAATAAAACACATCATAACTGATAAAATAGTTTCACCATAGATGTAGGAAAGCATTAAATATAATTCATAAAACTGGTTTTAAGATTTTGATACTGTGATAAATGGGTTCTTTTTGAGAGAGAGAGAGGGAGGGCATGAATGGGGGAGGGCAGAGAGAGTGAGAGAGAGAGAGAGAGAGAGAGAATCTTAAACAGGCTCCACACTGTTGGCACAGGGCTCGAACCCACAGAGCCTTGTGATCATGACCTGAGTGGACTCGAGTTGGATGCTGAACCGACTGAGCCACCCAGGCGCCCCAATACTGTGATAAACTTTTTAAAATTAGAAATATGCAAATACACACAATAAACTATTTGTAAAAAAATAAAAAAAGGAGGAAAAAAAATCTGCAAATACAGTCTAAACAATCACTGATGGGAAATAACAACTTAAAAACTTTATGATCTCAACTGGTAGGAAAATACACCAAGGAAAGCTAAGAAAATACGTGAAATCTCTTCTGACATATAATGCTTAAATTACTGAATTCTCCAGCCAAATTACAACTTTTATGAACAAAAGAGAGTTTAGGCCTCACCTTTAGAAATGTTCTGTCTCTCATTAACTGTATACCACATTGGGCAAGTTTCTGAGCTTTTCTACAGTCCATCTGATTATCTGTAAGTGGGCATTACAATGAATTACAAAAGATGTTTCATGGAACCCACCAGTTCTTAGCCCCTTCCTAAGGAGGAACTACTCTGCTCACAGCCCTTAAATCTGGTTACGTTTTATCCCATGTGACAACTTTCCCTTACCCCAGAGGGGAAGGAAAGAACAAGCCTAAAGAAGAAGATCCCACCCAGAAAGAGACTGGTCTTGGTGCTGCCTTACTCCCAAAGACAGACCCACTTGCATCTCTCCTTATAATTAACCTCTCACTGGTTAACTTCAATGGAGTTCTATCCACTGCAACTCACATAACCAAATGAAAATCCTACCCTATGTGGTTACTGTGGGAATTAAATAAGTATAAAGTTTCTATTACAACACCTGACACCTCATGTTAAGAAAAACAAAACGAGCGGTACCTGGGTGGCTTAGTCGGTTTAGTGTCTGACTTCGGCTCAGGTCATGATCTCACGATTTGTGGGTTCGAGCCCCGCATTGGGCTCTGTGCTGACAGCTAGCTCAGGGCCTGGAGCCTGCTTCAGATTCTATATCTCCCTCTCTCTCTGACCCTCCCCTGTTCACGTTGTGTCTCTCTCTCACAGAAATAAATAAAACATTGAAAAATTTTAAAAACAAAAAATGAATAGAGAACCATCACAAGTTTCTATTATACCTGCATTTGTCTTTGGAATCACATCTGCACTTGATACCATTTAGAATTATCATGGGCTATAGGCGCCTGGGTGACTCGGTTAAGCGTCCAACTCTTGATTTCAGCTCAGGTCATAATCTCATGGTTCATGGTTCAAGCCCCATGGTGGGGTCCAGGTTGACAGCATGAAGCCTGCTTCGGATTCTCTCCGTCTTTCTCTCTCTGCCTCTTCCCCACTCATATCTTCTCTCTCTCTCTCAAAATAAATTAAAAAAAAAAAAAAAAAAGAATTGAGGTGCCTGGGTGGTTCAGTTGGTTGAGTGTACGACTACTGATTTTGGCTCAGGTCACAATCACATGGTTAGTAAATTCGAGCCCCATGTTGGGCTCTGTGCTGACAGTGTGGAGCCTGCTTAGAATTCTCTCTTTATCCCTGCCTCTCTCCTGCTCTCTCTCTCAAAAATAAGTATAAAAGGAAAAAGAATTATCATGGGCTAATTAGAGCTAGCAACACTGAGCTAAATACATAATTGATTAGTTTATGCCTAGGGAAAGCTGAAAGATACGACCACACAGAAAGTGAACTAGAATCGCACCCTACTTTGAATACAGGTAAGTGATGAGAACACTTTTCATCTCCACTTGGCAAGGAGTATAATCAGCATGCTACACTCATTGACTCAACTGAATTTTCTTTCATATGAGGGAAAAAGTGTCTTGATCCCTATGTAACACCACACACAAAAAATCAGTTGTAGATAGACTGTAGATCTAAATATGAAAGAAAAAAAACCTGTCATGACCTTGGAGTAGACAATTTTTTAAGTAGGTTATAGATAGAACTATAAATAATAAAAATTAAAATTGGACTATTAAGATTCTGTCATCAAAACATACTACAGTGAAAAGACAAACTAGACTATGCAAGAGTCTGTTCACATGTTATTTGACAAAACACATATATAGAAATAAACAAAAAGCCAACAGAAAAATGGGCAAAAGACTTTGAACAGAAACTTCTATAACAGAGTATCCAAGTGTCCAATGGATACATAAAACGTACCCAAATAAGTCATCAGGGAAATGAAATTAACATCAAATTGGTTAAAATGATGCCACTATCCAACCATCAGAATAGCTGAAGCAAATTTTTTTTTAAGGAAAAAAATGCCTGGTGTCAGCAAGGATGTAAAGTAAGAGGAACTTTCATAAGCTGCTGGTGGGAATACTAATTGGTTAAGCCACCTTGCAAGACCATTTGGCAATACAACTTGTAAACTAAATATATGCATATTCTATGACCTAACAATTCCACTCTTAGGAGTATATCCAACAGATACATATCCATATTTTCAAGAAATGATGTGCACTGCAATGTTCATAGCACTATTCACAGCTGCCCAAACTGCAAATTACCCAAGTGCCCATTACCTGCAAAATGGAAAGATCAACTGTGGTAAATTCCCACAATGTAATAATATACAACAAGGAGAAATAAGTGATCTACAGCTTCCCATAGTGATATGAGTCTCACAAACATATTGAATAAAAGAAGCTAGATGGAAGGATTCACGTTACAGGATTCCATATTTATAAAATATAAAAACAGTTAAAACTATTCAATGTTATTACAGGTCCAGATAATGATTACAGGAAGTGGTAGAGGGGGTGCTCCCTGGGAATGGAAATTCGAGAAAGCTGCTGGGGTGCTGATAATGAGTCTTCATGTGGGCATTCTTTACCTGGAAGTGTCAAGTTGGTGAGAATTCATCAAGCTCTACAGTCATCTGTGTACTTCGCTGTGTGTACCTACTCAGGGAGGGAAACTTTTAGGAGCGATGCATACATTCATTACTTTAATTGCAAGGATGGAGTCACAGATGTAAACATACATCAAACTCATCAAAGCGCACACTTTAAACATGAGCACTTCACTGTACATCGTTTTTCAATAATAAAGTTTTTAAAAACCCTTCACAGCACCATCTATGTTGAAGAGAAATGGAATTGCAACAATATGTCACCCTTTAGAATTCTGCTAATTTCAATTTTATTGCTATGAGTAAAGTTTTAACAAATCCCCTCAGTTTGGAATTTGACTTATGCTCAACTTTCTAGTTCTGAAGCCCTAGAAATGTGCTAAAGTTAGCTGTGTTACTTAGCATGGTAAAAAGGACTCTTGTAAAATTGTATCTAGATTTGAACTATAAATGAACTGTAAACACCGGGTGGGGACATCACATCATGGGGCTTCCCCGAGTGCAGTGACTTGTAATTAGGCATAGCCCTTGTTGGACACAGCTCAGAAACTATGTTTATGGACCTGTTATAAGAAAGGAGGGGGGGAAGGAGGCAAGTGAGACTTTTTCTTTCTTTAACTGAGATATAAATTACATACTATAAAATTCACCCTTTCAAGGTGATTTTAGTATATTTATAAGCTTGTATAACCATCACTGATTCCAGAACATTTTGGCACCCCAAAAAGAAACCCTGTTCCCATTAGCAGTCATTCCCCATTGCCAAGGAGGCTCTGGTACCCACCTGATGTGGCTCTCATTTCCTCCTGCCTGAGCTGGTACTAATGGGGAGACCTGAGAGGTTAGTCTCTGGTCTGCCTTCAGGCCAGGGATTGGCATTGCTGACATCTTGGGCTGGATAATTCCTTGTTGTGGGCAGGTGTCCTGTGCATTTTAAGATGTTTAGCAGTATCCTTGGCCTCTCCTCACCAGAGGCCAGTAGCAACACCCCTCCCTCCTCCAACCACCTACAGCGATGATTGAAAGTGTCTCCAGATATTGCCAAATGTCCCCTGTCGGGGAAAAGGGGACAAAATCACACCAGTGGGGAACCAGTGGTGTAGACTGTTCCAAAAAACTCCCACAGGAAAGAAAGCTTCATTCAAACCTGCTGGGAAACTATGGTTGCTATCCTATATCCTTGAGTAGACGGGTACCAGGAGGGGTCTATGACAGTCTCATGAATCTGAATATTAGCTGGATTTAAGAAAACTTCCAATAGGGGCGCCTGAGTGGCTCAGTCAGTTGAGGATCCAACTCAACTGATTGATTTCAGCTCAGGTCATGACCCCAGGGTCATCGGATGGAGCCCTATGTCAGGTTCTACGCTGAACGTGGTGTCTGCTTGGAATTCTCGCTCTCCCTCTGCCCCTCTTCCTGCTTGCACTCTCTCTCTCAAATTAAAACAACAAGAAACTCCAAATAGGCCCTACAATTGGTATTATAGATTTGTCTGGATTTAATCTGTACATTTAATTCTGTTAGTATAAGCAGTTTAATATCTACTTGTAATTTTCAGTATATTTATGTAAACAAAAAAATAAACACTTGGATCCAAAATTTTTTTTTTAACCTTAGAAAGGGGATTGGTCTGAGCGTTACTCAGGTTTAAACAACACTGAGTTAGGCTAAGAATCATGTTTTCAGTGTCAAACTAATCATCATGATGCCATAAACCTAAATAAAGCCTAAAAAAACAGGTCCTCATTGATAAAAATGAAGAATTAGACCTAAGTGTATTAATCTTATTAACTGAAATCTGATGCAGTCTAAGATATTAGCTATGCCTATGACAAATGCCTACCAATGCAGTTTTTGTAGCTCAGAATGTTTTCCTTTGTCTTTTTTTAAAGGCACAAAACCCCAATTTATGAATAGCTAGTATCAACAGAGTAGCAGTAATAACTGCTCAGATAACACAGACTACTGAGGGAGAGTAGAAATGGCAGATCGGGAGCTAAAAGGCCTAGGATTGGGTTCTAGCACTTCACGTCTCTGGCTGAGGTATCACACAGTCACCGACGCTGAGTCCTAGTTTTCTCAGCTACGAACTGGGGGGAATAGAGCAACCAACCTCATCTGGTTACATTAAGAGATAATATACATGAAAGCACTTTTTAACCCGTGAAGTACTTTACAAAAATGACATTAGTGTTACAAACACTTACCTCAGGCAATATGCTTAAATCAGAATAATCCTTGGGTAGTTCTACTGCATTAACAATCGATGTCTTGATATTTTTATTAATCCTTTCCACTTCGCTGAAAGCTGGAGGCTGAGAAGGCAATGCATTCCAAGACACATTCTCCAGATGTGAGGAAGCATTCAAAAGAAGCCCATAGATGATTTGCCGGATGGGCAGAGATATTCTGTGGGCATTTGGTTGCTGCATATTTTCCACCTGAGTGTGAAGAATGGTCCGTCTTAGCACCAAAGCATCGCTGATGAAAGGAGAGAGCTGGCCTTTGGCCAATGCCACTAATACCCACTCTGGTAAATCCAGATTCAAGGCAGCCGGACAGGTGTAACTACCGTACTGAAAGAAGTCCTGCAGCTTCACCTGGGATTGCTGGTATTCTTCCATGGAACAGCACAGAATTTCCTTCACATTTTCTCGATCCTTTTTTGGGAGATATTTCAGAACATTATCCAATGCTTCAGTAGGGTCGGCAAAATGAGATACCCAATTCAGAAGTCCCCAGACTCGGTGGTGTCTCCTCCCCTTTGAACTGGTAGCTCCAAGAGGAAGACGGACTTTACTTAAGAATGTGTCCGTGATGGGTAGATTAATATGATCGTTTCCACATAGCACCGCGAAGAGAGGTAAGAGTTCTTTATTCATATTGCTGAAGTGACGGCAGAGCGCATCAATGGAAAAGCATTTGGCAGGGATATAGCAGTCTTGTGTACCTTTGATAGTGTTTACATTTCTCCACTGAAAGCTAGTCAGGGGGCAAAACCCAGTTTTCAGGTCAAAAATGCAAAAGTCACTATCTGATGATAACACAGGGCAATTCCAATGATTAGCCAGTGTCATAATGTCCCGATCTGCTTCTGAAAAGCACTGGACAAAACACACTTGTAACTTGATTAAAACCTGGATGAACACTTCCCGGATGAGTAAGGGACACACACACCCACCCCCGCCAACAGAAAGGGAATGAGCCACTTGGATCTTCTCTCTAGCTCGATCCTTTAAAGTTTTAAGCTTTTTATCTGAAATGTCACATCCTCCATCTAACACAACATATGGACAGATATTACAAGCAAACAGTGATTCAAAGAATTTGTGTACAACATCTGCAAAAGAGTCATAGTCCCCTCCATACCGAAGTTCCAAGTCTGAGTTGAAGCAAAGCCGGTGGAAGAGAGCATAGCCGTCAATGACAATTTTTGTGTCCCGCAACTTCAAGTCAGTGAAGAACTCATTGCTGTGATCTTCCACAAAACTCATTAGTCCTCGAATACCCATGATGACTGTCTGAAGAACTGCCTGATTAAAACGATAGGACACACATAGTTGGTGCTCTTTACTGGGGACCAAGTCATCATTTCCAGCACCACAAACCAACAGCAAATGTTATGAATAGCTCTTGAAACAACATATTAGGTATTAGCATCTCAATTCTTATCTAGTTGCTCAGGCACCACCGGCTAGCTGAGTGCATGGGTTTTCATTCTCTTTTGCTTTCCCTGTATGTTACAAGGCACAAGTGCAATGGTTTCATGGACTTTAACCTCTTGATAGAGATGGAAGCTGTTGATTCTAAAAGAGAACCCATTATAGTCCATTACTGACAAACTAATAGAGACTACTGTGGACTTTGATATTGAGATAGATAACAGTCACCATCTTCCAACAAAGAAGAGTTTTGTAGGGTCAAGGTAAAAAGTCGTAAGCTCTAAAAAATGATACCCTCTTCAATCTCATAATTAATAAATCAGGGGGCACTAGGCTTCACTTAACTAAAGTGTGTAGGGTCAATGATGTGGATCCAGTTTTTCTTTACTGACAATCAGGGTCTGGGAATTTCTTTTAGGCCTTGGCTTGTGGTCCCATCTCAATTGGCATAGTTTTGAGTAAGGATAATTACTGCTTCATGCCTGGAGGAACTTAGAACTCTCCAGTTTCACCTCTACCAGGGGCTCTTTTCATCTCCTCATCTTTGCATTATCTGGCTCAGTACCAAGAATATCGTTCCCCATCTGGCTACCTGAAGTCATAGGATGTGGTTTTTCCTTTGGCCTCATGCTCCAATATAGCTCAGCATGGCATGGTCACCGAATGTGTCTTTATTTAAAATAATGAGATTTTATTAATCATGTATTTCTTTTGCATTATTTTTGATTTTTAAATACACTGCATTAAAATATATGGATCTGGATTACAGGCTTTGGAGGCACCTCCTTGCATTCTGCGCCCAACTCCATTCACCCTGGTTTTGGCCTTTCCTTATCCAGTATAGTAGTTATTTATAAGTGGCTCGTGTGAAATATATGGAAACAGAGGCCATGTCAACTCATTCTAAACTAATTACAGGACCTTGCAATAGTTGTTGAACAAATGCGTGCTGGGTAGGAGAAAGGCGCACAGAACGTTTGCTCTTAGTCGTCAAACACAGGCTTCATACATCACGCCACCCGGCCCTTAGAATCCGCTACCCGACGGGCGGCAGAGCCCACCTGTACAGCCCTCCCAGAACACTAGCCCCTCCATTAAAAGCCTGCAGGAGCCCAGGGAGTCCTGGAAACGCCTGCATGTGAGAGTCCAACCTCAAGAGCGGGAACCGGAAGCCTCCGCGTATGACGTCACTGGGAAGCTCGGTTCCATGAAGCCAGTGGTGCCACACCGCGCCGGGGGTACAGGTGCTCCCGGGCCTGGAGGCGCCAGGTCACTAGGGAAGGCCGGGAAGTAATCCCCGAAATGGCCGCTGTCATGTTAGGGAAGCCAGGTGGGTCGGGCGTCTTCTCCTTTCCCCGCCCATTTTGATCAGTGCACACTTCCGCCTCGGGGACCGGCTCTGTGCCGCCTCGCCCCGACTTCCCAGCATGCCTCGCGCCGTCTCCCTGGCAACGGTCCCCAACAACCTTGCAGGGAGGTCCTGGAGCTCCGCGGTGCTGCTGCACCTACGTGGGACCTGCCCGACGTACGTCCCAATTACGGGTGGGACTGTGGGCAAGCCCCGGCGCCGCCGCTGCTGCGCCCTCCACACCGAAAGGTATGCGAAAAGCAAAGGGCGCTCCTCTGGGCGTGCCGGGCTCCCCGAAGCCGGGGAAGGTGATGGCTTTAGGCTGCCCCAGCCAAGATCCGCCTGCCTGGGCCTCCATGCCCGCGACCTCTTCACTCCCCTCAGCTCCTTTACTCCTGGATCTGCTCCAGTCTCCGGAGAATAACTGTTGCCGGCCCCTCTTCGATACACGTTAACCCGATTTGCGAAAGTGTAATTTTTTTTTTTTTTAAGAAGTTGAGGCAAAGAATGTTCATTTTACGTTCAGGTTAAAGTTTACCTTTAAGGTTAGCATTGTACTTTAGCAGAATCTGGTGTCAAATCTGCTTCCTCTCATTTAGTATTACCAGGGAAGAGTACAACTTGACTTCAACCAATGATAAACACTCTCCTTCCTGTGTCTTTTGTCCAAAGGTCAGTTGCACAAAGAGGTAATCTCATCTTTTTCACGGTTCCCATCCAACTTCCTAAAGCTCTTCCCTCCTCATACCAAGCACACTCCTCCCCACCCCCCCCACCCCCTTGGGCAACAGTCGGTCGGCTGGACACTTGTTTGCCCTAACAAAATTTATTGAACACCTACTAGATGACAGGCACCAAAGAGACAGAGATAAAGAGGTGTGTTCCTAGCTCTCGAGTTCATTCACAACCTTCGTTGAGGTGGGAGCCAGGGAACGTTGACAGCAGGACAGGTTGTTCCGGAATCTAGACGGCCCGACACCTACTAGGGTAGCTCTGTGTTTGGAGAGGAGACCAATGGAGTCACTGTCTAAAGGTGGACTGGATAAGGGGGCGGCAGGGCTGAGTCTGGGAGGCTGGGCCAAAGGAAACTGTGGCCCAGGCCAGACTGCTTAGACACTGCTGGGTTTGAAAGCTCATTTACAAGTAGGAGCCATTGGGAAATTAGACTTCTCAGAAACATTCTGTCTCTCAGTAAACCTGGACCTTCATCTCACCTCTAAAATAAGGAGAATTACTAGGTGATTTGAAGGATCCTTTTCAGTTGAAAAGGCTGTAAGTCCATATATTTTTCTTAACAGCTTAATTTGGCCAGAAAGTATCACTTTTATGGGAGCACAGAAAGCAAATAAAATACACATCTGGAGGCCTGCTCTCCGGTTGTTTTTCTAGTAGTAGACTTCACTAATATTTTCTGTGATCTTGATAATCTGACATAATTTTTTATTTATTCAGGGATTTTGAGCTATAGGCCTCAGTTCTTAGGTTTATCCCAATGTTAATGTTTTATTTTGTATTGTCATGAAACACAGCCACAATACAATTTGGTTTCTTTCTTTTCCTTTTTTTTTTTCTTTAAGATTTTATTTCTAAGTAATCTTCACACCCAATGTGGGGCTCAAATCCACAACCCTGAAATTAGGAGTGACCTTCTCTACTGACTGAGCCAGCCAAGCACCTCTCTCTCTCTCTCTCTCTCTCTCTCTCTCTCTTTAAAGCTGGTTACTAGAATACTTCTGACTGGCATCAGGTAAAACTGAACTGATTAATGCATTATTTCAAGAAGAATGCTGTAAATGGACATTTACCATTTATATTCTGTTCTGAGGATTTTTGCAATTGCCACCACCATGTGAATCCTGTTGGTTACGTACCCCAAACTACGCAGATAACATCTTGTTTTATCATTATACACAAGAGGGTTTTGTCTTCCAGCTTTGGAATAGTTGAATATGGAAACTTGACTCCAAGGCATAGACAGTCTTCAATTTAAAATCATATTTTCATGGATTTAAAACAAAACCCACTTCTCATCATTACTAAAAACAGTTTCGATTTGGTGAATTAAAAATGACTTTACTGGGCACGCATTCATATGACGCAGTCCTACTTTTCATAATCCTACTATATACATATTTATATTCAGTTATAATTAAAATACAATTTTTGGTTTGAACTGCATTTGTGACACTTCTTCTTTCCAATCCAGAGAGATTACTGTCTACACAGTGTGTATAATAATTCTGAAATTGGATCAGGATTTGTTTAGGATGAGAAAGAATTTATTCTGAAGTCTTTATTCCTCTTCACATCTATTCTAATAATTGCAAATATGATGGTTTAATGTCTACAGAAAAAAATTCTATGCTGATTTCTAGTCTAATCCTAATTCACTATTTGTTAATTAAAATAGACACAAGGTGGGAAGAAAGAATTACAAAAAGATTAATGCAAATATATAGATAATTATATTAATGTGAATGTATAGGAAATTATAATGTTCTTATTTTTGGAGTTTTTTTTAAGTTAGGTGGGGAGTATAAATCTTAAACAGATTAACTGTAACTCAGTTTTGCTATATTTGGATGTATGAGGGAGGGCTCTCTTCCTGTGAAAGACTGTCTTCTCTTAGAATCTTCATATCTCTACCTTTTAACATTTTTCTCTCAAGTCATTAAATGTGGTGTCATGGAATCCATTACTCAAGGTGCAAGTATCACTGTCAGAAACATGCACATGTTTAGGATTCTTTAGACCCGATCTCTGGACTTTTCATCTTTTAGGGATTGACTGGCGCTACTTGGATTAATTTGACCCTCTCCTAGGAGACTCGAAGTTGAATACCTATAAACAGATGAACTAGTTCTCTTTCGTTTGGAGCAATGCTGAAGTTCCAAGAGGCTGTTAAGTGTGCGAGTGGACCAACAGCCATTGCTGCTTACCCAAAGACCTTGATTGCGAGAAGATATGTAGTTCAACAGAAACTTGGTAGCGGAAGTTTTGGAACTGTCTACCTAGTCTCAGACAAGAAAGCAAAACAAGGAGAGGAATTGTAAGTAAAAATACTTCCCACGCATTTTGAGTTGGCTGCCTTGTATGCGTAGCTCTTAGCTGATTAAGAATATGGAGTACCATTTGCTCTTTGTATTTAAGATTCTCAGAATTTATTAAGCAACAGAAAAGCTTCTTGAATGGGGTCTCCAGATAAGATTTTTAAAGGCATTTCAGTAGGTGAATGAAGTACCCAAATGACCTAGAGAGAGTAAATAGGGTAGATTAAGTGGAGATAAGATTTTTATGCATTCCAGATTCTCAATTACAACATTGCTTCCACTTAACTTGATTGGGACTTCTTGAAGGAGAAAATCAGAATTTATTTATAATGACGGCAGTTTAAGAAATGTTATGAAATGCAAATAAATGGTAATTCACACTTGAGGTGAATAGGGTGTACTAAAAGGAAATATGGTATTAATTTTCTTTGGCTTTCTTCTATGGAGGGCGTTTTCAGTCTGTAGTCATATCACTCTCAAATTAGGACATTTAAACCAAACAGGAGCTCCCATCTAAAATTAGCTTATATTGAGGACCCTCTTGTTACTTCCTTTTCTTTGATTTTGATTGGACTGTTAAACTGTCAGGGTAGAGAAAATGTCTGTTACAGATAAGGCTCAATCTTCATTTTTAGCTTGAAGTTGTTTGAATTTGCTACCGTGAACAGTTAGTTGAATTGAAGTTAGGATAAGAAACTCGTACATCAGAAACACAAGAAAAAGAGAAAGCAGAAGTAAGAATGATCCAAGACATCAGCCTTTGGCTCCAGAAAAACATTTCCATCCCATAATCTATTCTTTTATTTGGAAGCTTTGAGTCTACTCAAAATTCTTTTAGCTTTTGCTCATTGGATTTAAAATCAGTGTGATAAATATTTTCTACTTCTTAATATGATATAGGAATTAGAAAAGTAAATGTTGGTGCTACTATTTTATTTCAAAATGAACCTTATAAATGGCCTCTGTTTCCAGAATGTTAAAGCGTAATTATCTGGAATCCATAATTTTCATTGAATCCCTCTGTTAGAGCAGGCTTCACAGCTCCTTTCAAAGACTTCTTTTCCACAAATCCTAGAGGTGTTCTCCCAGCCATGTAGGACAGGAGGATAAATTTCGGAAAATTACCAGAGTACCTTTATGGAAACATTGAGAGAAAGACCTAAATCTGACCCTGGACTTGTATGAATCACACTGTAAATGATGTGGGGCCACGGGCAAACAGTCAAGAAAGAATTCTTGAGACATTTTTGGTGCAAAAAGGTGCTTTTATTATAGTGCAGGGACAGGACCTATGGGCAAAGAGAGCTGCACCTTTGCTATATTAAGCTGGTGGCCACATACCTAGTGCTCAAGGCAGAGGGGGTGTGCAGGGAGTATTAGATCACAAAGGTTTTGTTCGAAGTTTGACTGGTACAGCTACTTTCACAAGATTCCTCTGGTGCTTATCATTCAGCTGGATATTAACTATTGGTGAGATGTACAAGCAGTCATGAGACCCTTTAAGAATGTGGCAACCAGAACTATGCAGGCTGTAAGTCAGCCTTCTGGACTAAAGGTGAACATTTTTCTGCTTTTGTCTCTCATCACAAAGACCATATCCAATTTTGGTTTCTTCAATGAGTGAGGACTATGAAGAATTTTAAGAGAATTCACAGGAGAGCTAAAAAGCTGATTAAAGGAATGTAAAATAAGATATATGAAGACCAAACTTGAAAGCTTCAGACTTGAGATTAGGGTGAGTGTA